ACTGTGCTTTCTACTTAGCTCCGTCTGAAAACTACAAATATGACCTTGTATACTGCCTACAGCACATTGTCGATGATATAAAAACATGTTTTGTCTATTACAAAACCTGTGAAGTCAATTAAACGCGTGATTGAGATGCTGCTCCCATCAGTCGCAGATTGCCGCGATAAAAAAGGTTTAATATGGCTTTTTTTTTCAAACCGAATTCAAAACGAAGATTTTTTAGAATTATGCAATAAAACTTGAAATGACGTTATATCTGAAGAAAAGGATAAACTTGACAGATCAAGGGAGGAAATTGCTCATATCGAATGGGATAAGAACCTAGCCTTCAGTTAGTAGGCGAGCTAGGACTAGGCTAGGCCTAGCCAGGCCATCATTCATTCAAGCGGACGGAGTCACAATAAACGAACAGACAAAGATAGTTTTGTCTTACAAAACATGTTATGTCTATTACAAAACATGTTTTGCATAGACAAGCATGGTTTTGTTTTTACAAAACACGTTTTGTACAGACAAACATAGCGTTGTCTTTTACAAAACATATTTTGTACAGACAAACATGTTTTTTTTTTCTTTTACAAAGCATGTTTTGTACAGACAAATGTGTTTTTTCTTTTACAAAACATTTTAGTACAAACATGGTTTTGTCTATTACAGAACAATTTTTTGTACAGACAAACATGGATTTGTCTTTTACAAAACGTGTTTTGTACAGACAAACAAGGTTTTGTCTATTACATTGTGTTTACAGAGAAACATGGATTTTTCTTTTACAAAATATGTTTTGTAAACACAGAATAACTTTCGTACATTACAAAACATGATGTGTCCCTTACAAACATGGTTTTGTATGACACGAACATGTAGTATGTCGTCGTTTGGCTCCCCGTGTTGGCTCGGACAAACGAAAGTGGACCTCTTTGCAGCTGATTGGACATGTGACCCATAGGAGAGAAAAAAATGTTGATTGAGTTAGTCCACGCATGTGGGAAATACAGGCAAATTACAGCTGCAAGCTACAGGTTACGTTCCTACCATTATTTTGACTCAAAGTGTTATGCTGCTCTGATGTTTTCTTTTGAGGTTTGTCATTTGAACTTCTGAATATGCTGCCTCTGGGAAACAGACTTTTGTCCCTTTCACTGTTTGAAATAATTACCATGATTGTGATGATGATAATTATGATGATGATGACGATGATAGAGATGAAGACGATGATGATGTTGATGATAATGACGATGAAATAAAGATAACAATGGTAACTACGACAATAACGACGATGATAATAATGTTCTTAATTTTCGAACTTACTCACCAACAAAAATGTTATTTTTATAATTGAATTAATTTGGACATTAGCTATTTACCTGCTGGACAAGTGTAACAACCTGATCCTGAAAGCTTCCCGTATGAACCAAGACCGCAAGGCTGGCATGTTGGGCCAGTGCACGTCATTCCAAATAAATATAGTCTTGAAAAATAATCAACTTTGAAATCGAGTACAGTCTTATTAGTGACACATATTCTAAATTAAAATAAATAACGAAACAACATAAATTTTTTAATTAACTAAAGTAACTGAATTTGGTTCTAGGTAAGTAACTATATTTCGGCTGTATCTATGTCCACTAATGACGGCTGCAGTACATTCCTACAATGGTGCTGCAATGTGCCGCCAGCCCAAAAATAAACCCATTCCTTTGTAAGACAAAATTGTCATCAGTGTTACGCATATTTTAGTAATATGTATAATTGATAATTTTCCCTAAACAATTATTCTTGATAATAAACGGAACTTGAATATTTAAAGTTACGTACGCATTTGTGTGTTCTGCTATCTTCGACGGGATATACTCGAGATTTCCACAGTCCAGATACCTTATTAATAAAATATAATAGATAAGTATCTATGTAAACCAAGAACAATGTGAACCGCAATAATGGAGTTTAACAACTCAATTGCCACCTGCCGTGTAATTACAAACATATGGTACAGTGCAGGAGTAAGTTATCTTGCATTATGGACTAAAGGCAGCCCTTTTAATAACCTTCAGCTATTAGGAAATACTTAGTACCGCGAACACGCATACACATACAATACTAAATACATCGTGTACGAATCTGCTCATACCACCGCTGGAGTATGACTCACTGAACCCCCTACAATTTATAATCATATAATTCAGTATAACTTAAATAGCTTGTTTGCTTATATTTTCATTTCCACTGCTCTGCGGTTCTGCACATCACCACAGTTGTGATGGGAAATTTATGATTGCCATTTTAGCGTTTGAAAACAGAGGAAACTGTCATTCTATTGATCTGTACTGTTTACAAGAAAACATTAATTAGTTTTCAATAGATATCTATAGAAATAGTAAACAGAAAGTATTGCCATATATAACAAATATAAAGAGAGAAATTGTTAGATACTATGATATTACAAGATATATATATTTTTCCGCATGTAATCAAGAGAAATTCTTTTCATTTTGGTCTTCACTGCATGTTCTTTTTCAAAGCTTCAAATTTAATAATGAATATTTAAATGTTTCAAGTCATGGCCTTACCCTGGCTTCTGGTATATAAATATTTCACCTAACGTAATGGTACAACAAGTTTTGAATATGAAATACAATATTATATTTTCACTGGAAAAAGAACATATAAAAATGTTCAATGTTGTTATATGTATACTACTCTATGTATTGAAAAGAAGGGCCGCACTTATTTATTTGTTTTTGTTTATTTTCATTTTGAATGTAATGTATAATTAAATGAATACAAAGGTAAATAAAAAAAAATTAAAAAAAGTTTTACACAATATATTATTTTCAGCGTAAAATTATGCATGTAAGTATAAATAAAGTATACATATTAGGAATTCAAAACTGTTGTATACCATAACTAACATTTAAATATAAATGTGAAGGTCGATATTTGGTGACTTTTGATACACGTTCAGAGTTATTTTATACTTACACTGTTGATTTCGGTGCCAGATAAGACAATGTGCCTTGTTCCATGTCTTCAATCGGATTATTAAATAGATAACTACAAGAAAAACAATGTTTCTTAAAGGGCATTGAATAGTTCTGATATTTGATGTAGGGGCTTACTCTTTCATTTTACTTACAGATATTGAAGTGAACCAATGTCTACTTTGAACATTTCACTTGTAATTTTCTGGAGATTATTTCCATAGATATATCTAAAAAATAATTGTAAGAATACATTGCTTCACTATAGATAATATATGTTCTTAAGCAAAAATATATTTAATATTACATTAGTATTGTTTCCAGTAAGTTCATACCATCAGTAATAAAAACGTACTTACAAATACGTGAGACTGGTTCCACTGAAAGATCTATCTTCTATATATGATATCCTATTCAGGTAAATAAGTCTTTAGGGTTGTAAAAGCAATAACAATGCATCAATCCAATAAGATAAATAAACAGTATTCTTATATAAATGTTTTTATCTCATTATTAATTACTTTTATTTAAAAATTAGGCCCTGTATACACGAGTTTTGTCCATACAAGTGATAAAACTCTTACATAAGAGATACATTATTGAGATAATATTTATTCAAAATACTATCCCTATTTCTAACTATGCTGCTACTATGCGTTTACTGTCACTATTGCAAACGTTTTAAACTGTTGTTTGAGATTGTTTTAAAATGTTAAAAACTTAAACCAAGAGTAACCCGGTGAAAATGTCAAAAGGAAACAAACACAAATGGCAAAGAGCGAAAGTGCCGGAGAAAAAGTAAAGTGCCAGATTTAAAACCTCAAATGACAAAGTACAAATACCAAGTAGTGCCATTGTGACAAAAAGGTCAAATTACGAGTGGCACAATACAAACAGTCAAGTGGCATCATAAATACAGAAGGCGCTGAAAATATCAAGTGGTGGCACACGCGTTTGTTGCTGAACCAATTTTATTCGTAAAAACAAAATAATGGATTTATTATACTCGAAAAATACTAACTAGCGTTTGGGTTTGTTATACAAAATAAAAAAAAACAAAAAAAAAACTTACATCTGTTCCAGAGATTGCAATCCATTAAAATGATTTCTTGAAATTGATTGTATTTCATTTTTTGCTATAATGAGTTTTTGCGGCGAGTGGGCCAATACGCTTCTGTTGGCATATGAGCTCAGGTCAATAAAGTTCATGCTTATGATTCTAGACATAATTTAAAAAATATAAATGTCATGAATTCTATTAATTGAATTATTATTACGATTCTTATTATTTATTATTATTATTATTATTAATAATAGTAATCAAAATTCAAGATTTAAGATTTAAGATTTTTTTGTGTTATTTTCAAAAATCAATTGGTACATCACATCGCACACTATTGTATACTCTTCATGTCTTTCAATTTGTATACAGTTTATAATGTTTTATACCTTTTTATGTTGTATTGAACACAATAAAGATAACTTGCACTTTAGTGCCTGGGAAGATACTCCTTACTTTAACAATAATTTTAATCTCACAGACATCATTGCTGCGAGTCAATTTTTTTCAATTTTGGATATCACTTTCGTAACAGTGGCACACGTTGGACAATACCCAACGGTGCATCCATATATAAGAGAAAAATAATAAACTTAAACTAGGAGTAAATTAAACTAAAATGTATATACAAAGTAAAATTTATCAATATGGCATGTAGGTCTATGTGGTATGGTACCGGTAGTCTTACAGGACCGTATTATTTACAGAGTTGCTGTATGAATTGCAAGTTAATATGGAGCTAGAAAATACAAAAACTAATTAAAGTGTAACGGGTGGTAATGTGGCCATGGATTTATATATTTCAGATCTTAAATTCCATGCGCCTTCGAGAAATACCTTACAATAATTATCAAATATTTCTGCTAATTTATGGTTACCAATTTGGTCATTAAGATTATCGAGAAACAAATGATGCTTATAATCTAACGATCCGGTAATAAATGATTTCCAAAATTCATCTAATCCCCATGTAACAAGGTCATTTTTTAAATCATTATAAACCTTTTCTCTAAATGGCTGGATTTTATCACAAATAAATAAAAAATGGTCGGTTGTTTCTTTTAAATTTCGGGAGCATAATTTACAAAAAGCTTGTTTTGTGTTGACCATGTCTGCTTTTTAGCCTCTAGGTTTAGAGAATTAGTTCGTGTTTTGAATTATAATTCCTTTGAAATTTATTTTGTCTAGTAAATAGGGTTCAAATATAGGTCTGTCTTTGTATCTAATATACTCTGTTAGTGAACTTTTTAATTTACAATTTCCTAACCATGTTTTAACATCAGTCTCTTTATTATTCTTTTTAAATTCTTTCATCCAGCCATTTTGAGGTTCGGTATTGTACATTCTTGAGTGACCATATATATTTAAAAAACCTTTTATTGTATCTAGCCATTTCCATTTTAATGACTGCTCAACATGATTAATTGCTTTAAATAATTTTTTTCATCCATCTTTTTAAGTCTGTTAAAAAATTGTATCATTAAATTGTTTTAAACTGATTCGATTGATTGCCAGCCTAGATCTCCATACAAGGCGTCTTTAGCTACATTTCATGGTGCACATAACATAGTTCGAGCCATCTGGTATTGGAGATTTTCTAGTTTGGTAGTGGCCGATTTTCCGGCACAGAACCATACAGAGCATGCATAATTTACGGTTGGTAGACCTATTTTTCTCCATAGTATATCTCCATAGTACACTGTATTGAAGTCGTCCTGATTGTTTATAATAGACTTAATGTACGCAAAAATTTGGTTACCTTTTCTGATTACTTCATCGATGTGATGTGAATCGGACAACGATCTTGAAATGATTACACATAAGTATTTGTAGTCATCTACTTCAGTTATATAGTTATCGTCCAATTTCCATTTTCTATAATTATTTAATTTTTGACCTGATATTAAGACATTTGATTTGTTATAATTAAAGTTCATTTTCCATTTTCTTGCGAATTGGTCTGTAGTTTTTAATAGTTCATTTAGTTGTTTTTCGTTTTCACCGATCAAGACTACATCATCAGCCCAGAAAAGGCAACCGATTATGGTATCAAAAATATTTATTCCTAGCTATCTATGCATGATCATTTTATTTAATTCATTAATATAGATTATGAATAATAATGGAGATAATGTACACCCTTGTTTGACACCTTCTTCAATTTCAAATAGATCAGTAACATAATTATCTGCAGATACTTTACATTTAACGTTAACATATAGGTTTTTGTTTAGGAGGTTGCCTCCTACCGATCCTTTCGCCCGCCGTGAATAATCCATCTCTCCAGACTGTGTCAAACGCTTTTTTTAAAATCCGAGAAGGCCATGTAGGTTTTTTTACCTTCCGCCTGGCGGGTAGCGATAATACTTTTTCAAGTGAACTTAGATGTGATCTTCACATCTTTTGTCGTTCCTAGATCCACCGTGGACCTCAGTGAGGAGTTCGTTACTTCAAGGAAGTTTGACACACTCTAGGAGATAACTTTATTGTAGACTTTTGCGACACAAGAATCAATAGTGATTCTTCTATAATTATTTAGATCACGCCTATCTCCCTTTTTGAATAATGGAATGATCGCTCCTTCATTCCATTCATCTGGTATATGTTTTAAGTTTGCTAGTCTTTTAAATACTGTATACATAGATATGATCATTTCATCTCCGCCATCTTTCAACATTTCATTTTGATATTTTATCGTTTCCTGAGCTTTTATTATTTTTAGTTTGGGATATGACACTTCATTACATGTAAAGTTTAAATCGTTCAACATGTGCCTATTTTCAGTGATTGGGATTTCAGTTTGGTTTATTAATTGAATATCGTCATTTCTTGTTTCACTATTTCTATTCTTGGCGAGTGAGCTAAAATGTGTCTTTAGTGCATTCGTTATCGTTAAATGGTCAGCAGACGAGCAGCGACACTAATTTCGACGTACGGCAGTAAAAATCTCGATTTTTTCCAGGACTCGAGATGAATTTTCCGAAGAGTGTCGGATCGTTTTCGGTTTTCAGCCCGAAAGCGCGATAAAATTCGAGAGCTTTTCGTAGCTTTTTCGAGATCCACATTGTCCCGGCGGCGTGGCTTTCAATCAGTTTAGAGCATGACGGTGTCGGATGTGTTCGTTTGGAGTTAGATTTAAATCAGTAAGTGAAGTCATGTTAATTTTAGTGATTTTTAGTGCAGCTATGGTTGTGCTTTTTTATAATTTAATTATGCCTAGGCTAGGCCGAACGTCGCTAGTCTTTCAATTTGAGGCTAGGCCTAGATCTAACCTAATATTAGGTATTCCATTAGCTTCTCTACCTTGGTTAGATCTAGGCTTAGGTTAAGTTAGGGCCAGGTGTCTAAACGAACAGCGTTATTTTTCTATTTGATATTAATTAGACCAGGCTATAATTGAGATAGGTGCCACTTGGAGAGGTAGAAATTCTCATATGGTTTTTTAGACCAGTTTTTTATGGGGAATCAGAACATGTGAGGTAAAAGGGGCTAACCTGAGAACTTTTGCGTGAGGGCGTTTTTTTCAAAATGGCTGCCAAAATTCAATAAACTACATATTATATGTAAAAAAATTAAAGAACAACTTAACAGCAGCTTCAATACCCTAAATAAATTTGTGTAATTTACAAAACATGAATGTAATAACTGCCGGTGACTTTTTAAACCCAAAATAACATATTTTAGGGTGGTAACCTAACTCACTCTTGGAAATGTAAGTAAAAATTCCCCCTTATATTAGCCCTTTTCTGTTTTGAAGAATGGAAAATATCACCAGAATCCTATAATAATTCCAGTTTTTTGTTTTTCATTATTTTTGTGTACTACACAAGGTATTCTAGAAGACCACACAAATAACTACCATAATTTTCATGTATAAAGGCATTAATTCATTTATTACATAATTGTCCTTTACTGTGTAACACTATGTTGAGCAATAATCTCCATGTATTGCTAATACCGCTGTATTCTGAAAGTTTTTGTCTTTATTATAAACAGGTCTTGGACGTCCATGGGCATCACTATCTCAATCATTTTTTGCTTCAGTTGATCATTCCATCTGTCGTGAATACCATTTTTATTGACCAAATCATTTACGTCTGCTTAATTTCCATTCTTTAGCGATTACATTTCCTCAAGTGCTCAAGGGTCTGCTTGCAAACATGGTGGTAGCATTGATATGTCTGATTTTATTGCCTCTATTGAACATTTCACATCTTGCTGGATTTACACTTTTCCCCTTAACTCGATGCCGCAGTCTTCAAGTTCCTCAGACATCTTTTGTGTTGCAAAAACACAAAAACTTTAATGTTGCAGAACGTGTCAACAAAACTTTGCCTTTGACTACAGAAGCACGAGATCCAATAAGGGAAGATTTCTTCTCTGGTGAAAGTTAATGTCACTTAATTTGAACAACTTTCGGTATTTGCCAGTGTTTGTGTCACGTCTAGAATGACTCTCTCTCCGTTGTCATAAAATAAGATATACAGTAGCAACGACTGCAATATCGATGTCTCCAGAATGGAACGGTTGATGTTTATGTATTGGTTGTAATTTCTTAAAGCATGCATTGCATGCAAGACGACTTTCGAGTCTGCTTTTCTCAGCAGCTGCTACGAAGAACTGGAACTAATACAAAATCTCTTTCAGTGACAAGGAAGGATGCATTCTTGCCGATAGCAATAGTATTCAAGAAGGTATCCAACCAGTTTGTCAAAATCCAGTTTGCCGAATCCAGTTGTTCACTGAAATCATTAAATCCCATTTTGTCAAAATCCAGTTTGCCAAAACCCAGAATGCCCAATCCAGTTCACTGAAATCATGAAATCCTAGTTTGTCAAAACTCAGTTTTCCGAAGCCCATTTCAAATCTCTGTGTACATACTGTGCATTTGAAAGGAAGGAGCTTAATTTATGTGTACAAATTAAAAGGGAAAATATAGGAAGGCAACAAAGCTGTACAAAAACACATTTGAAAGCATAGCTATCAGTTAAAATTAGGAATAAAATGAAATGAAATTAAGGATAAGCATCGTATCCTTCCAAAATACTCCCTCTGCAAACCCTATCATGATTGTTGTGCCAGGTCCCTGACACCGAGGCTCTAGTTGGACCCTTGAGTCACACCCCCTGTCGACAAATTTCTGGAGCCACAATTGACATGTGTGTATAATTGTAGATTATTATTAATTTGTTTATTTCCTTTATTATTATTATTTTTATATAAATTTATGTATTTATCATAGGTATGCTAACAAAACTTATTAACTGCAAGGCCTATTAAATTGACTTTCATTTGCTGATAGCCAATTGATTTACAGATTAAAACAAAAAGAATCATTTAACTACAATAAGCCGCTATTTCTTATACGAATACATAGTAAGAGAGTGTTCCAACATGAATGTTATGCTGTGGTTAATGTTTTAATACTGCTTTTATTTTTATTTTCGACAAAGTGGGCTTCAGCGTAAATGTAGTTTAATGGATTTTGGCGGCCATTTTGAAAAAAGTGCCCTCACGAGAAAGTCATCAGGTTACACCCCTTTTACCTCAGTTATTCCGATTCCCCATAACAAAAACTGGTCTAGAAAAACCATATGAGAATTTCTACCTCTCCAAGTGGCACCTATCTCAATTATAGCCTGGTCTAAATTAGAAATTGCCAGATTATGTTGATGTATGTATGTGGCAACAGGCCCATCATAGACGCCATATTGTAATTTTGTGATGATAAATATTTTTTCCATGATTATACTTAGGAGATAGGTGTATATTGATATCCAAATATCTTACTAATAAATCAATATCTAATAAAATATCTCATAAAATAATAGTAATCGATAATTATATTGAATATGTTAGTAAAACATACTGAATTTGTGTGAATTTTGTAACAAATATTGCGCTTCAATCTTATGTTAATTTACACATGTACTTTTGTTTGCAGGTTGTTGCACACAATCCAGGTCATTGTCAGTTTAGGGCTTGACGGTGTTGCATGTGTTCGTTTAGAGTTAGAATTTAATCGCAAAGGAAAAGTAACAACATGGAGATAAGGAAAAAACAAGCTATCACATTTTTACGATGACCTTCTACACCAACCCAAGGGAACAGAGGACCCCGTGGAAAAGACCTCAAATACCAACAGAAGGTGCGCGTCATCGGGTGACATCGGCCGATGACTAAATGAAATTAGGTCATTTACCTGATGAAAATACTATTTCGAAACCGGTTTAAATACCTAGGTATTTAAACAGGTTTAAATATTAAAAAGCATATTGTTGATAAAGCATTTAGGCCTATTAAAATTCTGAAAAGCATATTGTGGATATAAAGCATTTATTTAAAAAATAAAAAGCATATTGTAGATAAAGCATTATTTTATATAAAGATTTTAATACTGAGAAGCACGATATGCTTAAACCATTTTTTTTTAGACAGACTTAATTTCTGTGAGGCATGTTCTTCATTTAGCTACTTTATTGAAACAGTTTTAAATATTGACAAAATATTAAAAAGATTTAAACATTTTCTTGTTAAAACAGATTTAAATACTGTGAAGTCTATTGTCGATAACACTTTTTTTACATATCTGTGAAGCCTATTGTGTGGCTAACAATAAAACAAGATCGACTACAAACATGTCTATTGGTATATTATTATGTTGTTTTGTAACATTGTAAACAACATTTTTGAAACCCATTCTTATAAATTACCAAATCATACATTTCTTCCAACCTTTAATACTAAAACTAAAAATCAGTACGCCCTTTTATGTACTGAAGTATCTATTTGCATACTCGCAGCATTTTACTTTCTATTAGAAACTGCTAGTATAGTTGTCGTTGAATTTGTCCAGCTTGACTTCTGATACGTTGTATAACAACTACAACAAAAACAACGACAACGAACTTTTTCCTCTTTCTCTTTTTATTTTTTTTTTCTCGTTCTCTTTCCCTTTCTCTTCCTTATTTTCTTCTTCACTAAGCGAAATGGTATTGGGGATATGAGGTCTTTCCTTCTGCCACCTTTAAAAACCTGTATAGAGAATGCTAATTAACATCAGCCGCATAATCGGAGGAAAAATCCATTAAAAACTGGACAGATAGAGTGCAGACTTACCTTTTAAGCATATAAATCTCTTCCAAAAAAGGCTAAAAAGGGAAATGTGCGCAATTATTACGGAGGTTGGGTGAAAGCATCATAACCTTCAGGAGGGACTCTAAATCTCCTTCAAGGGTAGACAGAGCCAATATAGCAAAGCGTAGGGCAATACTCCCTCAGTCTACGTAACATGTAACTCAGAAACTTTGCACATTTTTTCGTAGAATTTTATCTCGCACCGAAATTGGTGATGCCCGCTATGGTATACAGTAGCTGAAAGCTATCCTTGTCAAGCTATTCGTGTCAACAATACTTCAGATTACTACTTGACAACGAAACAGAGTCAGAGGGGATTGATAAAAAGCCTAAAGTCAAAACCAATCTGCCAAGTACAGTCCCAAACACAAGGGTAGACACCAGGGTCCATAGGACCATTGGCGAATCCCATTGTTTATTTAAACGATCTCTCTAATTAGCCACCTTGTTTGGGCCGTAAGTTGGCCTTATGTTCCCTTGGATCAGGGTGGCTAAATTACTATTCTGATCTGGGCAGCCACTAATGACAAACTTAGAAAAATGTGGTAAATAATCCTAAGAAGCTTCCGTTCAGAAGTGTTATGTTAAGCTGCGTTTACATCGCGCATGGTACAAGGTTATTCGGGTTAAGTACGTTACGTTTGATTGGTTCGAACCAACAATCATGCTGCTGATTGGTCCAACAAAAAGAAACGAAAGATTTCACAATACAAATGACCTGAGAGCCAGACTACCTGATACAAAACTGTTCTTCGAACATCAAACCCCAATTGTGAAAAACCAGCATGTGGATTCGGCCGAAACATAATTTTCGCTTTATCCCAGGTAATTGTTAATAAAGCTTGGTAATAGTCTTTAACAAGGTTGTCTGGCCAAGGCAAAAAAAGTATAATAGCATATACCTTTATTTCCGTTGTAGGAGTAATGTCTCTGATGGGGGCAGGGTTGATATTCGAGATGGAAATTTTTTTAACTTCAATGTCAGATGGAAAATAGGCCTTTCCATTGGGGACATCGCATCTTCTCTCGTCAGGGACATCGTTCATACGTCGGTGGCATTGTACCCACTGCCTTCCTCCTCTATTTTGAAACATAAAACTCAAGTCGAGCAAATAAGCACTACGATTGTGGATACGGTGTACTTGCTAGTTGCCGATGTCCCTGACGAGGGAAAGTGGCGAAGTCCCCGATGAAAAGTCCGACTTTCCAGACGGCAAAGTAGGTGTGGACAAGAACGGGCAACAATTAGGTATTTGAAAGGTATATTTAATCAATTTACAGTTTGTTTTTTTTTCCCGATAAATTGTGCTCCAAGATATGGGGAGGGGGAGCCCTTCGCACCCCACCCCAACCATTGGCGCGAATTCCCTTTTCTCCTTTAAACAAACTCTCTGATTAACCAAACTAGCTTGTATTAAATAATGTTCACATGATAAACGTTGCCATTTAAATGCTAAAATTCCTCAAATACTGAGGCCTTTACCCTTTCCCTCGGCATCGTACCTTAGCATCTTACCTTTCCCGCAATCCAACCATAGGCATATAGGTTCCTCTTCGTTGTAATAGATACCTGATATAAAGTCCTGGTTACGACAGCCTACAAATTATGTTGGCCTATGCTTAGAGTATTATCAAATCTATGAGACATCATTGAAATTAACTAAGAAATGTTGAAGCTTTACTAAAATGACCATAACATTTTCCCCATGGAGAATTGGATAGGAGTTTTTTCGCATGTTAAAGAGGAAACCCGTGCACATCGATTGATACCAAAAAAGCTTTGTTAACCATTTTTTCCTGTACATCAGTAACACGACCAAACTATTGTTGATGTTAAGAACAAGACCTTAAAAATTCAAAGCATTTTTTCGTTTTATTTTGCAAAGGTGGACTTTCTTAATGGTGGGCTTAAAATGATATGCTGTTGGAGTATCTTGCTTAGTGTACTGATATACATAAGCAACAGTAAATAATAGAAGGTCCTTTCCTCGAGGTATACCAGATATCCTTGAGTTATGATTATAAAGTATGTCTTTTTTTCACTACTTGATTTCTTCAAGGTCAAGATAAGGATTTTGAGAATTGGTTTGAATATTCAGATTTCAGATTACTAGGAAAAATACCAGCACAAGGGAGTGTGTTAATTAAGGGCCAAAATGCTTTATACAAGATAGTTCCATAACCATAATAATAATAATAATAATAATAATAATAATAATAATAATAATAATAATAATAATATAATACGCTAATAATATAGGCCTAATAATAATATATTAATAATAATGATAATATAAATAATTATTGTTACTGTGCATTAATGTTATTATTAGTATCGATATTACTAGTATGAGTATTATCAATCGAGTATTATTAAACTGAAGCTTCTATTTTTATCAAAACGGAAGACGAAAGATCCCTCTGTAAATTGGCATTAACATTTTTAAGTTTTTAAGTTCTTATAATCAGTTAGTTTTGTCTTAAATATACATTTTAAAAAGTTCTATACATACCAAAAACGTGTAACGGTACAATATATTGTGCATAGAAAATCAAAATTACGTAAATATACAACACTTACAACAAACCCGTTACGTTGAGATTATATACAGCCAGTGGAATTTCTTTAATTAAGTTATTATCCAATCTCCTGTAATTTAGAATAGAAAGTTTGATTGAAATAGCAACACTATTATATCCTATAATGCAAGTATAAAAACATTTGTAATATTGTTGCAGATTATTTAATATATTATGAATAATAATAATAATAATAATAATAATAATAATAATAATAATAATAATAATAATAGCACTAAGTAGAGAGAATATCTCCGTCACCAAAATTTAAAAATGTCTTTAATTATGTCTGTGCAGCCGTTTTTGAGATGCCAAACACAAAAAACCACATGAAAACACCAAAACGTTACACACACTCACACACACACAAATGTAAACGACTGAAAACATAAATCTCCTGTTAAAGATAATGATGATGATAATAATAATAATAATAATAAAATAATAATAATAATAAAAATAATAATAATAATAATAATAATAATAATAATAACAATAATAATAACTAGACATAGGGGTTTTTCTTAAGAAATTAAGTTGAAATTAAGTATAAAGTGAAATAAGGAAAACCAATATACTTATATTGTTAAAGAAATATGAAGTTAAAAAAAAGGGCAACTACAGCGATTTGGTAAAATCCGAACTATTGTTGCAATGGTAATAGCGACACTCGTAACCATTGCTTGATATATGAGCCGACATGTATAGACCAGTGCATTCCTCGTTCATGGCGATTGACTGAAAACAAAAATTCATTCATATCACAGTAGTTTTGAGTTTAACCTAGCTCCATCTGGTTTAAATGCTTTGGAAAAAAAAATTAATGCTAATATCCATAAACTTTCCAGAAAATTTTATTTAAATCAATTTTTACCCGTTTTTGAAATATCTGGTTCTCTTTGAATGGTCCTCATATCTGCACTCTACTCAGGTTCGTCACAAAAATGTAATCATTTCTTTAAACCTTGACAAACTATTATAGAAAGTTTCATTTAGACCCATAAAATAAATTTCTATAGATATTTAGGACGAGGACGTCAGAAATTTTAATGACCCTGATATTTACACCCTCAACTAGGTCGTTCCCAACATATAAACATTTCTTTCTTGTAACTTGGTTAAACTTCCCGAACGTTTCATTCAGATCAGTTTTCCTTTGAAGTGTCCTGATATCGGCACCCTATAGTCCGGCAGCTCAGTAGATGGATGTGGACGTTCCGGACAAAAGCACCAATTTTTTTACATGCTCCTTATGGTCATAGCATTCCATTTTTGGTAAGAACCACCTCATACGAGGACATTATGGCGGCCATCTTGGATTTTTTAAAATGGGCACCTAATAAAACCTATGTTTATCTATATCTCCGCTTCTAAACCACTCTAATGTCTGAAACTATTTTATATGGTCAAGAAATACCATCATACCATTTCTGACCTGGTCAGATTGCCACAAATAGGTCATTTAAGGTCAAATATTGTATGGAATCTTAAAAATTACATAATTGTCATATTTTACATTAGAACCATACCCTGACTCTCAAAACTTCAAAATCTTTACTATGAACTAAAATATTTCATTCGAGGCCATTCTGGCGGCCATCTTGAATTTCAAAATTGCTGCCACGCAAATCCTATATTTATCAATATATCGGTTTTTAAACCACTTTAATGAGAATTATGATATCTAAAATTATATTTCATGGTCAAGGCTTTATAACACTTGTGACATGGTCAGATAGTCATTAAGATCATAAAAGGTCATTTAAGGTCATTCAATGTATATACCATACCATTACCATTTTTTACCTGGTCAGATTGCCACAAATAGGTCATTCAAGGTCAAATATTGTATGGTATCTTAACAATTACGTAACTTATGTATTACATTAGAACATTAGAATCATATCCATACTCTCAGAATTCAAATGTTTTACTATGAAATATATATATATATATACACTATATATATATATATATATTTAATATATATATGCATTATATGTATATACAGTATATATAGTAATTATGTACGTACAATTTTCAGTGAGATTAATATGCTTTAAATTAATTTTTATATACTTTTATTGTCATTAAGCTCACTGTACACAATAATGTCTTTATATATATTATTAGATATACATATAATAAAGTATATACCTATATACATGTATATATAAAATATATATATTCCCTTGACATTATAATATATAAGTTTTATGACGGATTAAGAATATTTAAATAAATTTTCAATTAGCTGACTATGAGGGCTGAACGTTTACAGGACATTATATTTAGGCGCATTTATAATAAAATAACAAATAATAGAAAACAATAATAATTTATATACTTATTTAATTTAATAGACTAATAGGATAAACCCATTTTGTAAATAATAATGTACAATTTAAATGCAGAAGAGGAAAATCTGATCAGAATGAAAAGGAAACATTGCCTCCACCAGCACTTGAACTCAGCACCTTTTTCTTAACGTGCGAAGGTCTTACCAACTCAACCAGAGAGACCTGTGGTCGAGATACATATTTATATATTACAACATTATTATTATTCTTTTGACTAGTATTGTAATTATATACTACTACACAGCAAAGTGTTTGTATTTATATATAACGTAGTCTGCACACTTATATTCATATATAGGTATTTCATAGAATCTTGCCACTGTTCTGATTATTTAAAAAACAAACCGAGAAGATGTATTATTAAGGTCATACAATTGATCTTAAATGACTTTTTTATGACCATAATAATCTGACCATGTACCCATTTTTTTTTATCCTTAGTGGGGTGACTCACAATTTTTGCATCATTTTTAATTTAAATAAACACATACTGTACCACGGTATACAATAAGAAATCCTGTCAAAAAATTAAATTAATTAAATTATGAGATTTTGAATATATTAAATACAAAATATTATTTAAATTTTATGAAAGTAATATCATTATAGTGTGAGCAAAACATTATTGTACATTCGATTATTATTATTTTTATTATTATTATTATTATTATTATTATTATTATTATATATATATACTGATATACACATGCATATATACACATACACACTGTTTATACATAATACACAAATATACATACATATATACCTACACACCCCAACAAATACATAATATATATATATATATATATATATATATATATATATATTATACCATTCTTTTTAATATCAATTTATCATTTCACATTAAATAAAATATCTGATATCAGACTTTTTCCAATATATAATGTAATATAATAAATACAAATACATATCACTACTTTTGATGTTATTCTTTGACTATGCAGTACAGTAAACATATTTAACAGAACAAAACATGTTTTACATGGTGGTCACCTTGAAATTTAATATGGCTGCTAAATGACCTTGACCTAAAATGGCTGTCATAATGACCTCTGATAAAATAGTTCCTATCAAAAATTGAATTTTGTGAGCTTATGTATGATTTTGCTGTAAAACACGACCACTTACAAACTATGAAGATTTTCTACGTATTTAACAGAAAAATGAAATTTAATGACCATAAATGACCATCTGACCATGTCACAAGTGCTATAAATCATTGACCATGAAAACATGTTTTTAGACATTCTTATTGGAAGTAGTTTAAAAGCCGATATATTGATAAATATATGTTTTGCGTGGCAGCCATTTTGAAATTCAAGATGGCCGCCAGAATGACCTCAAATGAAATATTGTAGTTCATAGTAAAAATTTTGAAATCTGAGATCGTGGGTATGATTCTAATGTAAAATTTTACATTTACGTAATTTTAAAGATACCATACAATTTTGACCTTGAATGACCTTAAATGACCCATTTTTGGCAATCTGACCAGATCAAATATGATATGATGGTATTCCTCGATCAAATAAACATACTCTTAGACATTAGAATTATAATTCAAAGTGATTTAAAAGCGGAGATATAGATAAACATAGGTTTTATATGGCTACCATTTTGAAATCCATGTTCCTACCAAAAATTGAATGCTATGACCATAAGGAGCATGTTAACAAAAATTTGCGCTTTTGTCCGGAACGTCCACATTAAGTCCAAATATGGCCCTAAGCTGCCGTACTACTACACCGGATTGTCCAAAAAATGTATAATTTATTTTCTAGATCTTGACAAACTATTATAGAAAGTTTTATTTATACCCATTGATTTTTTAAAAGAGATATTTAGGTATGGAACTTAAGAAAGTTAATAACCCCACATTTACACCCTCAACTGGAGCATCCCCGACACATAATAATTTCTTCCTTGTAACTTGGTTAAACTTTCCTGAATGTTTCATTCAGCTCCGTTGCTTCGTTTTTTAAATATCTGGTCTGAGACGTTTTTCTTTGAATGGTTCTCATTTTAATCACTTCAGACCTTAACAAACTGTTATAGAAAGTTTCAATTATTATTACTAATGATATTTTAAAAAGAGATTATTAGGTATCGGACTAGATACTAGATCTTCCCAACACATAGTAATGTCTTCCTTGTAACTTGCTTAAACTTTTCAGAAAGTTTATTAAGATCCATTGACACGTTTTTGGAATATTTGTTGGAGACTCTTTGCCCTTATATTACTTACATACACATCTTACTCTAGATTTACAGTAAATATTATGCTTCGACAAATCATGGAAAAGTTCTAAACATGAGAAGTGACCAAAGTGCCAGACGGAAAACCCAGTGCAAAAAGATAGGAAAAACCATATGCAAGAAAAAAGGGGAAATATCAGATCAAATACAATGTGTTTTCCAGCTACTGCTTGGAAAAGCCAATAATAATAATAAACAAAAACTTTATTACCTCTTCAAAGAGGTTATTTTTTATTATATGTTATGTGTGTTTCTCTGTATGTCAGCAGCCTCCAGCCTATAGTTTTAGGTCTACATGCATCGGACTTTTAAAGATGACTTCTGATTAATGGAACCACAAATTACTCATTCTTCTTTATTGCATCAAAAAATGTAAATACAAAAGGTAACCAAGATATAACTAAAGATAATCAAGCTTGGCACCTCACCCCCACCCCTCTTAAGCTACATACATATTTCTATAATAATAATAATGATGATAATAGTAACAGTAAATAATAATAATAATAATAATAATAATAATAATAATAATAATAATAATATTCGAAAAATAGCTCATCTGTGTTGGTATTTGAATGTATAATAATAATAATAATAATAGTAATAATAATATTAATAATAATAATAATAATAGTAATAATAATAATAATATATTAATAATAATAATAATAGTAGACCTGAATTATGTTATTAAGTAAGTTCTGATTAATGTAGTATTTTAAAGTTTGAAGAAAAAAGTAGATTGTTCCAAATAATAGCACCAGAGAATGTAATTCTGGACCTCCAAGATTAATATGACACGAAGGAATAGCTACATTAAAAGGATTATTGAACCGTGTACTATATGTATGGTCAGTAATTTCAATATAATCAGATGAAACCATTACCACATATTTCTTATTAATTGAACTATTTGCATAACATTTCCACTTGAAAACCAATACATGGCATGTATAAGTGTAAAACGTTCCAGTGTGTTTAGTCAGAAGATGTAAAGTATACAACTAATACAATAAAAGGCGTTTTCTGTTAGCCGTGTTGGTGTATTTTTTCTTAGTAGGTTATGGTAGGAAATTAGGTGGGCTCTCACATTTTTCACATTGTCTTGAAAATATAATGTTTAAATACTATTGGCCGGGTTGGTGTATTTTTTCTCTGTAGGTTATGGATGGAAAGTAGGTAGGCTGTCACATTTTTTACAGTGTCAGTAACTGGAAATATAATGTTTCAATACTATGTTGTTTGAATTCTTTGTTTGAAACGTAACATGTGTAGTGAAAAGTAAGCCGACAGTAAATTTTAGCATCTCTACAAGAAAGAAATTATTATGTGTAGGTGACGATCAAATTTATGGTGTGAATTTGAGGATCACTTAAAGTTCTGACGTCTCAGACCTATATATCTATTCAATGGATCAAAATGAAACTTTCTATAATAGTTTTTCATTGCAATTAAGCAATTTATACAATATTTTGTGACGATTTTGCGTAGGGTGTAAATATGAAGACTATTTAAAAAAAAATGTCTTACAACCACATTTTCCAATAACTACTCAAGTAGCCTGAATGAAATAACCAGGTTGACTAGAAGTAATTATCAAGTGTTGGTGACTATCCACATATGGGTGTGAATTCGAGGGTCATTTAAAGCTCTAAGGTCCCAGGAATAAAAGTATCTCTAAAACCTGATCAATTGACCTAATTAAAATTTCCATAATAGTTCGTCATTCTTTAATAAAGATATGTTTAAATATTGGTGAATATAAGGAGTACCGTGTGGATATTCGGACCATTTAAAGGAAAATGTCTTAGACTAGTTATTTAAAAAAAATAATCAAGTGTTCTAAATGAAGCTTTAGTCAAAGTGTAACCAATTTTCAAGAAAGAATAATATTACTAATTGTTGGTAGTTTCCGGTGTGAAGTTAGAGGTCATTTATGCGTTAACGACCCAGGCCTAAATATCTTAAAATCTAGCCAATGGAGCAAAATAAAACTTTGCAGAATGGTTTGATGTGGTCCAATAACGAAATTATTACATTTTGGTGCCGATCCAGACTATAGTGTGGACATATGAAGGCAATTTAACGGTAAAACTCGCAGACCAGATATTACAAAAACTGATGGACTTATCTTAATGACATTTTCTGGAAAAAAATATGCTTAAAGGAAGAAACTATCGAATTTTAGTAGCTGCCAAGATGCGCGTGTAGTGAAACTTGTAGTGAAAGTGCAAAGGTCCAAAGCCTAAATATCTCTATAAAAGTATATGTACTCAAATGACATTTTCAAGAATAGTTTGTATTGCTTTAATGACAAAATTTTAAAACTTTTTTGGGCCCATTTGAAGAACATTTTTGGACTGGTAATTATGTAAAAGCAAGTTTCAAACTAGCTGAAACTATGTTGAAGGCAAAATTAACGTTAAATGCATCAATAAATTACCATAATAAATTACTCAAGATAGATGAGCTAAAAATGCACTCACCTACATAAGGTCGACTCATATTATAGCGCGCAATGGTTATGGCTACAAGGTTCCTGCCATTACCATTGCAGCAATAGTTCGGGTCTCACTGTTCTCACTCTTCGTGTCCCGCTGTTGTATGTGAACATGATTTTTTTTTTTTTTTTTTTTTTTTTTTTTGGAACAGGAATTTTTTTCCTATTTTTGGTATTATTATTACTTTTTTGTTTTTCTGTTTTTTTTTTTTAACTTATACTTTGTAACGACATTGATTTTTTTCTGCAATTTTGACTTCTTATCATAGCAATAGGATCTTTATCTATTCTTAGTGATTCAGGTTTCTATGGTGTATTTATAATAGAAAAATGTATAACCAGTTTCAATATTTATACTTATATTTATACTTTATTTGCGGGAACTTAACTCCAGCAGTGAGAAAATTGAATTGAACGAAATTGCATTGCATTCTTATATCAGTGTAGTTATTTAGACATACGACTGCAAAATTGTAATTAACATGATTAAAATGGTTGTATTGTTTTGCATTTAACTACTTACAACACCATTATCTTTCCCACCTCAGCAAATGCCTCAGGGTCAATATGCTGCAATTTATTGCACGATAAATATCTACGAAGAGGATGAGCAGAAATTGAATACTGCGTAAAAACATTATGAAAGTGGCACAAAAAAACCACAAAACATGAAAAAAAATAACATGATGGTGTTCATGTGACATGTCCTACCTATTACATAGATCTATACAAACAAATAGAGTGCTGACTACGTGACGAATCAATACAGATGCGTATGTTTATTCATCTAAAATGGCCGCAGTAGAAAAGCGTAACCATCAGGATTACTATACATATAACTATAAATAAGCCCTCAGACCTTACAACTACTGGGCGTGAGAATTTTAGAAAGTGGGCGTGCAAATTAGCAGTTCTTGAGTAAGTATTTGTTACGGTGACACAGGCGACGACCAACTCGGATCGTTTGTTCAACGGTAGGATGCGATGATGTAAAATACTTTTCTGCTAGGCATAGATTGCAGAGCTTAGTAATATTGCTGTATGGGAGTACTCGTTGAAATATGTTGCTGCCTTTGAATTCCCATATATACTTGGTCAGCCTCGTGCTTGATGCTTGAGGTGATTAAAGTAGTGCTTGTCTGCAGTCTATCTGTATTTAAACGTTTTCTCCGTTATTGTAAGATACTTTTGTGTCGTTTTGCTTGGTGGTAGTAATATTTATTAATAATAATAATAACAATAACAATAACAATAACAGTAACAATAATAATGAATTATTGTGTTAATACTAATTATTAATTAATATTCATAATAAACTATTGTAACCAAAAAAGGGCCAATGGAGTATCTGATTTAAAAAGTACTAATGAATGAAAATCGAAATCGTCTACGCCACATCGCAACACTCAACCGTCAGCATAGCTGTATTCAAAACTTTAATGTTAAGTTGAGGACATCATTAAAACGGTGATATAAGCGTATTATGATTGGCCGAATCTACGGCAGCCATCTCGTATGGTACATACACAGCTCTGCGTTTTCGAGCATCGAATACATGGATTTAGCGCTCCAGATCGGTTTTAAAGTATGTTTGGTTGGACCAAGTTCATTAACAAAAGTTAATCACAGTTAAGTGGTACACATAACCTAAATAATCAATATAATCACTGGTAGTTTTGTAAACCATATGAAACAAGTCTATTTCGGTCTTAACTCTAAATAAAGGTACACAAATTTATTTCCAACATTAAAAAAAAACATAAATCAATACATTTCGTTTAAAATTACCATTACTACAAAAAAAAACGTTTAAACAATACTTACAACTGGAGTAAATAACTTGAGTTAATAAACCTCGGTGGAAGGTGCTTAATTGAGTTGAAACCTAAAGATCTGGAAAAAAAAATTTAAGTGATAATTATGGACTGAAGTTAAATTTATTATCACTTTCAACCTTCCCATAAAAAAAACACCCAAAGCCTTTTCTTACACCTTAGACATGAATCCAATATTTCTGAAACTTCCTGTTTTAATTTCCTTAATGCCGATGTGGTCCACATATCTGGAAAAAAATAATATTTGAGTACACATTTACACAGTGGCTATTATAATGTGTTTTAGCAACATTTAGTAGTTTCTCATAATCAAGGTCGGTAATAATAATAATAATAATAATAATAATAATAATAATAATAATAATAATAATAATAATAATAATATGTCTGTTTGAACAACAAAACGTAGGGCTTTTCCCCATTGCTTTAATGAGAAATTAAGTTGAAATTGCAACAAAAAGAAGCCATTAAAATGTATAAAGTTTAAAAACACAGAAAACCAATATAATTTTAATGAAGGGGAAAAACTAAGAGGGAAAAAAAACCAAAACCAAGTTTACTGCAACGTTATTAATGAGATTTGAACTATGGCTGCAAAGGTAATAGTGAGGTACATCATGACTCATAACCATTGCGCACCATAAGCCGACCTTGCATAGGAAAGTGCATTTTTAGTTCATATCAACGCAATGACTGAACGCAAAAATTGTTCATGCATTTCACGGTAGTTTTGAGTTTTACCTAGCTGTAACTGCTTTAAGCGCTATAGAAAACGCAAAAAAATTATTAAATCAACTGTCAACAACAAAAAATCGTTTAGAGTAAACCAGGGAAGACAACTAATATTTAGCTAGCTGCATTGCCTGATGAAGATCCGATGACATCGGTTCGAAACGCAGCAAGTAATTTAAAGTTTTGGTTTACTCTACACGAAATTTCAATATCAGTAAATAAATATATAAATAAACAGGGGCAATACATAGCCGCCTGCCATTTTCGTTAGCGGAGCTAATATCAATAACAATAACATTACGAACAACCAAAAACTATCAAATTAACAAGTTCATTAAAATTACCACTAACACAACAGCATTAGGAATAATAAAATTATTATTGAAAGTCATATTAATAAGAGAAATAATAGCCTTAACAATAATAGGCTTAATAATAATAATAATAATAATAATAATAATAATAATAATAATAATAATAACCAACGAACACAAGTTTGATTAACAAAATTAAGAATTTGTTGTGCAAGATAGAAAACTTAAAATGAATTTCAATCTATGAGAGTCCGAAGAATTACCACAAAGCATGTTAACACCAAGGTAATATAACAAAATTTGCATTAAAACGATAAAAGTGAAATCAACACAATGAAGACTAATGCTTATATATAAGCCAAACCAGTCACTCGTCTCAAAAATCGATTTTTAGTTATAATAATAATAATAATTTATTAGGAACTACACTGTTCAGCCATATAAAATTAAAAGCAATCTTAAACTAAAAAAAACCTTAAGGTAAAGTAAAGTGATGCAAACAATCACATGAACAATTATACAAACACCATACAAACGTACATGAAATACACATACAGTACATAAGTACATATATATCCATACACAACTGTATATCCAGTCACATGACTGTACCGTACTCACAATTATAAACATAAAGACATAAAGTACATACTGAACTCTATACTACACCACTTATCCCACAAGAAGCACACATATCAGGCCAGATAACACAGAAGCATATAAAAGTAAATCAAAAGTCATAAAGTAATACAGGACTAAAATAAATAAAAAAAACCTTCGTTTTCTTTTTTGATCTCATTTCTCTTTTTCCATGCCCTTGTAGCATACCTTTTACAAAATTTGTCAAATTTGTAATTGTTGTTTTAACAAAAAAAATCGGGAAAAAACCAAAATAGCATGATTTCAACATTTTTGGCATTCCAGCATGTTTTGGCTATTATCTCTGAAACACGATTTGCGACAAGTGACTGGTTTGGTTACTCAAAGGCATTGGAATCGGACTTTCATGCAACAACACCTTATATGGATGGTGAAGAACTTGTATGATGGGGCAAGTGGTGAAGTTCGAGTCCACAGTCAGAGAACGGAGCCATTCCAATTTCAGAAAGGAGTTAGATAACGATGTATAATTTCTCCATTACTCTACAATGCTGTTGATGAAGAGATTAGATTATAAGCAGAAACTGGTCTTCTGGAGGGAGCTGGTGAAGTAATTGGAGGCAGAGTAATTTGTAATGTCAGATATGCAGATGACACCACAATATGGCCAGCCCCCAAAAAAACTCGGCAGTACAGCTGAAATGCTTAGAGAGATTGAGGACTAAGTACTCTTGATCAACAATGTAAAGAGAAGTTGCATGAATGTGCATGGCGAAGGAAAGATGTTGAGATTGAAAATGTGTCCAAGTTCAAGTTCCTCGATTCTTACATCACACAAGAGGAGTCAGTGCCACAGATTTGTCTCTTTAAGCTTTACTTTCTTGAATGGATTTATTATCCAATTCAACAGAGTCTAATTTAGTTTTAAAAAAATAACAGAACATTTTAAAAAATGGCTGGGTTACTCAGCATTTAAATAAAATGAAAATTAATTATTTTAGAAAATGGAACTAAGACAAATGTCACACTATAGTTGTATAGTTGCCTCATTCTCTATTCAAACCTTGTTTTAGTATTATTTACACAATTTGAATCTAGTATATTATATTAAAATGTAATTACGTTACCAGATAGTTGTAATGGACATGCTCGTGTTTAAGATTTGAGTCCAAGTCATCCAAAAGATTGAATGCAAGAATATAAACAGCTCTTGATGCTAAAAACACCTGTAAAGGTATTAATGAAAACATTAAATAGTTATAAAATATGCAATACAAATTCTCTTTGAATTATTATCTAATTGAAAATGCAATAAACCAACAATGACAATCGTAAACCATAGTAATATATAATAATATAATAGTATAATAGTAGTATATAATAATATATGTATTAATAGTAATATTAATTATACAATTCAGACAGCTCAGTTTGCTTAATACGGAACGGGTTTGCTGGATAAAGCTAAGGCCAATATTTCACTCATTTAGTACCAACATTTTGCTGATTTGTATAAATTATTGTATATTTTTAGTTATATTTCTACTTATGCTCTGATGTAAAATATTATATTTCACTGGAGTTAATTAATACCAATGCAGTAATGCATCTAATAAAATAAATGAATGTTTTAAACGATATGTTTCGACGTGTCCCACGTCATCGGCAATAGCGCTGTGCTACTGACGGATTAAATACTACCGGTCAGATGTAAGATGAAAACAAGCAAGCTAACCTTTTCATGGGATACCATGAACAATCTGAATTCTGAACGCGATGCCGACATTTTTTGCGATTTTTTAAAAATCACAACACCCATCCATTAGATTCACCATGGAAAAGGAGTACAGCAAAAAATTACCCTTTCTTGATATCCTTCTAGATAACACTGTTCATAACTCATTAATTACCTCAGTCTACCATAAGAGAACGTATACAGGTTTGTTAACAAATTTCCATAGCTCTACGTCACTTACATATAAATCTGGACTTCTACGCACTCTAATAGACCGTACGTTTAAAATTAACAACACATGGTTGGGTTTTCACAATGATTTAACAAAACTTGTACTCACTTAAAAAAAAAATTGTTATCCGATTTCTTTAGTTAATAAAAAAAATACATCACTACCTGAACAAAAAACTATCGCACACCACTTTGGATCCTCCTAAAACACAAACGCAAACCTCTTATTTCAAGTTACCTTATACACCATTATCTAATTATTGTCAACGAAAAATTAACGTTACGGTCAAAAACAATGCTGTAACATTAACCTCAGATTTGCTTTCAAGTCATACAAATTATCAAATTTTTTTTAACGTAAAAGACTATGTCCCGACTAATCTCCGAGACCGTGTTATCTATAAATTTAATTGCGCGGGGTGTAACTGTGTATATTGGTGAGAACTCAGTTAAATGTCAAAACACATCTAATCCAGACTGTTTTACTATTCTTGACACTCCGACCCCAACACTTATCAACTTAAAATAAAAGAAGTCCTTTACATTGCTTGGGGAAATCCGTCACTTAACAAACAAACAACTCATTACAATATCACTCTTTCATTCTAATTCATTCTAATTCCTATATGCATGACTTACTATAGCATTCCTGACCTCTATATACATGACCTACCTTAATATTTTGTTTGTTTTCACCTTACATCTGACCGGCAGTATTTAAGCCGTCAGTAGCACAGCGCTATTGCCTGATGATGACGTGGGACACGTCGAAACATGTCGTTTAAAACATATATATATATAATCTAGATGTGTATAAGAGACAGTATATATACAGTGTATATATCATTGTAGTAAATCATTTCAATTGCGGCTATTAATTGTGTGTTTTAGCTTTCCTTGTGGTTATGCAGCTTCATTGTGGTGATTACTTTTTCGTTGCGATGAATTTGCTATATTGTAGTAATTACCTTTCCATTTTGGTAATTCATCGGACCCTTATAATGATGACATAACTTACAATGAACAACTGATGGAACCATGCAATGCAAACGTGTTTTTCTCTATCGTATCCAAGTTGTTACTTCTTATCCAGCTTGATTAAATAAATAATTTGGTAAAATTTATATTTTAATAATTGTAATCATAGTACTTCGTACTATAATAATTCAGTTTTTTTATAATACAGTTAATCGACACTAATATACAGTAGCTCCCGACAGTGTAAACACGAAAACACCTACATGCTAGTTAAATTTTTAATTGTTTTAAAGGTGTTAGGTTGTATATACTTGATCTTGTTGCTCGAAATTTTTCTAAGGATAAAAGAAAAGGAAAACAGTAAATGACAAATGATTGTAATTAATATATCAAATAAATAAAACAAACGGTTCAGTTCAAATGTTCATGAAACATGGAAATAATAATTATTAATACATGTTCAACCCCTTTTGAATACATTTTGAAATATATATATATATATATAATATAAATATATATATAAAGATAAATATATATATAAGATATATGAACATATTATTATATATAAATATATAAATAAATATACAAATATATA